CGTTCTTCTTCGTCTGTCAGTTTGGAGCGGGAATACTCACCGATCCCGTGGCCGACTGGTGCATGCGGTGGCTTGCCATCTCGCCATTGCCAGTTGAGGGTCCAGCAACGCTGCGTGGCGTCCCAACGTACTGACCCATCGTCGGACGTCAGGATGATGTCGTCCCCGTCGGTCTGACAGCTGACATGCCGCAGTGGAACGTCGGCCACACTAGCTGTCACGTCGGCATGCTGGCCGAGCGTCACGCAGCACAAGCTGCCATCGTCATCGTAGCGCAGGTGCAGACCCCCACACTGTGCAATAGTGTCAGACCCAAGCAGAACATCAGTGCCGACCACAGACAGACTTGGAACGACGAGAACCTCCATGGCGACAGCGGGGATACTGACACAATCATCTTCCCGGACGAACTTCAACCGCGCACTGCCCAGGATACGCAAGGGTTGGCCATCCAGCGCCACCACTGGTTGGCCCGTGTGGGCCGTCACAGGAGTCCCGAGCTGGTCGACAAGTGCTGACGTCACCAACGTCCGGGTAGAACCAGTGTCTATGACGGACCGCACACGGACTCCCGATGCAGTGTCACAGGACACATCAACAAAGACCTTTGGCAATCCCGGCCGTGCCAAATTCGCCATGCACAGGCACCTGTCAGACTGCACTGGCTCTGCAGCTGCTGCCGAGGACTGTGCCAAAGAGGCGAGGAACTTGCGGCGCAACCGACAGTCCCTCTTCATGTGGCCCTCTTGATCGCAAAAGAAGCACATAAGCGGTCTCTGCTCCTTGGGCGGAGGGCGTGGCTTCTCATTGCCCCTCTGCTGCCGTCCGCCCTTCTGGTACCGGCGATGTGGACAGTTGCGCTGGACGTGCCCCACCTCATTGCAGTTGAAGCACAACACACTGGACTGGCGAAGTTCCGGAGCAGCAGCGGCAACAGCTCCCGATGCACTGGCACGCTTGCGGCAGGAGTCGTCCGTAGATCGCAGAGCACGGACTTTGGCGACGCACTTAGTGACAGTCAGGTCTGACTCCGTGCTCGCCATGCGCACCTGCCGTCCATAGTCCAAGGACAGGCCATCCAACAATTGCTCGAGCAACACCATATCCTTGTCGTCGGCACATGTGTGGCCGGACAGCGCCAATAAGCGCTTCAGGTCGGTGACGTAGGTATCCACGGGCTCATCGTCCCGGAGCGTCCGCGCTTTAAATTGGCGGAACGCATCCGCCGGGGTCATGGTGTAAGCAGACTCCAGGGCCTTCTTTACTGCTGATTCACTGGCCTTGTCAGTATCAGACAACTGCTCAAACAGGTGGAAGGCATCACCATCCAAAAACAATGGCAACGATGCCATGCGGTCGGTTTCCGTCGACAGTTTCTGTAATCGGCACAGAACCAAAAACTTCCTCCAAAACAACTGGAAGTCTTCGCCTTTTCCTTTGAACGCTCTCAAGTAACCATCCATTTTGATGGATGCCATGGTTACACTGCCACTGCACTGGTGTAGCTCAAACCAACACCACAAACACTACAAATACTTAAAATTCACTCGACTGCCTCCTGCAGTTCTACACGAGCACTCGACCGGTCCTGAGGCTCTGTTCGATCGGGTTTCGGTACCACTTGTTACTGAATTGTTTCTACTACTACTAGCTTAATTAACCACCCCTGCATCCAACCCTTGGCATGCTACAACCGACAACCGTTGCAAACTTGGGTGAGAGAATACATACAGTAGATTCAGTATAAAATTGGAAAGAAGATCATCGAAAGAATGAAAAAGGCAGCTGCATCAGCATGCAGCTGCGCATCAAAATCAAATGTAAAGATGGCGACCATGAACGACTGCGACGTGGATAAACTGCAAAACAAACTAGTGCAGCGACACTGACTCGAATGAGTAAAGAAGCGAAGAAGACGAAACGGCAAGGAAAGCGGATCGCTACGATCGCTCAAATGCACTAGCCTAGAGCGTGCATAGCGCATGCAGTCAAACGGTCACGTGATAAGTGCGTACACAAGTCATACGTCATAATAATGCAGTTGACAAAGAAAAGGAAACAAAGCTGAGCGCGAGGCAAACAAATCTGCAGAGCGCGAAAATATAAACACATTGAACGAAGGATTTGTTTGAGAACAAAATGCACAGGCAGACAAAGAAGAAACAGTTCGAAGCTAGAATCAATGTCCGTGTTTCTTAGAATCAATCATGGAGAAAGCTAACTAAGAGTAACTACCTCTGTCACGCAAGACCGGACCTAAACACCTACGAAGTAAGAATTGATGTGTTACGAGAAATACGTGTAGTGAAATAAATTGGTATGCATTGCATCGTGACACAACTTGCCAAGCTGCATGTACGTGATTGTAAATGTACAAACAACATGCAACGTCGTAGTAAGCACAATCGTAACTCGTGAATTCCGTGTTGTTGACTCAAGGCAAGCAGTACCTCGTGTACACGTTGACAACAACGAACGAATTGATTATACTCTGATAATAAAATACTAATAATATGAAAGAACAACAAAACGTAAATGTCACCTACGATTACACAACACCAGAGGGTGGCGGCGTTCCTATGGATGCAGGAAACTGGGTCTAACCGAGTTTCTACATGAACCGTAAACGCCTTTTTTGCATAGCAACATCTGCACATGGCATGTGGGAAGACTGGGAACTGCCAAACATGGCCAACATCATGTGACCTACTGCCGTAAGAGGCTATTTACACAACCAAGAGTACATGAAACCCAGAGTGTGCAGCTTGGGGTATTTTCTACTCATGGGTGTCTGTCACGGCGAAATTCCGTGATTACATCATATTTGGTGCAGATCTGAGGCGGGAAATGGCGCAGTGCGTACAACTGAGCTGCAGTTGTGCAGAAAGCAGACCTGCTGGAATCCTGCTTGTACGCACTACATCAGTAAAATGTAATCCGGGCTGCACATTCTGGCTTTCATGTATATGTAGGTAGTCCTGGCACAACGGTGTAGCAAGAAGGACCCATGAGTGTGTGTGTGATCCCCGGTAGCCTAATCGGTAGGGCACTGTCCCGGAAAGACAGGGGTGCTGGGTTCGAATCCCGCTCGTGGATCCTTCTTTTGCAACAATGGCACCGGTATTGCCATGCCGAGGGTATCCATGGTAATTTGATCACGCGAGCACCACTTGCGTAACGCTGGCTGTACCAAGAGCAAAGCTCTTTACCACTCCACAATCTTAGGCGAGACCAAAATGAAATAGAGATTCCCGGGCCCTCCCGCACCAAAATCGAGCCAAAGCCATTTTTTTTGAACAGTTCATACATGTACAGTACTGATCGTGTGAGTAGATCTGTGACGTGGAGTTCCACAAACCAGAGCTTGTACGACTCCCTGATGTACAGATCAGGGCCATCGTTGGCCGAAATATAGAAAAATTGAACGGGTAAACCGCGTACCTGTTGTCCGGGAATCTCGATTTTATTTTGGTCTCGCCTTACCACGCCCTGCTCTAGAGAGTATAGTGTGATCAATATTTCCAAAAAAAATTAAGCGCCCAACGTGGGGCTCGAACCCACGACCCTGAGATTAAGAGTCTCATGCTCTACCGACTGAGCTAGCCGGGCTGCCGTATTTCCAGCTGAGTGGTCAATCGAGATCATACCTGTCAACCTGTGCAAACCTGAGATCGGGACAATGATATACCTATAGTCAGTTTCAAAAAGATTAGCAATCCTGGCGATCGCCCGGGGAGTTTGCCGTCTTACCGTATGAGCGCTCGAGGGCTGCCTGGAAAAACTCACTGTGAACTCGAAGAAATATTCCGCGCGAAAGCATGAAAAATGACAACTCACTGCACTGACGTCGGTACTCGTACATGACTTTGTGTTCGTCTGGTTTACAACAAACGAGTTCTTCCTCGTATCGATATGGAGTCAGAGAGGACATGTCGAAAGTCTGGTAAATTTTGACGAGCGGGATGCGTCCCAATTCGTTTTGTGACCAAATAGATTCTTTGAGCTGCCGTGGATGCAATTTACTCTCACGATGTGACGAAAACGGCATTGACACAGACTCATTCCCAAGGCTATCCGTGTGACTTCGACGACATTTTGAGAAAAGCAGACGCCTGTGAAAGTTGATAGAAGACGGCGGCGTTGACTCCTATTCAGATAAATTGGCGATCTTGAAATAAAATAATTCTCAAACAGAAATCGATCGATCGATATCGATGTGCCGGTGCATGTATGCAACAACACGTAGCTACAGCGCAGTGACTTCCGTGTTCACTCACACGGTTTCAGTGTTGTGTGTGTTCACAACTTCACATGGCGTTTTTATTACCCCTATTACTTTGTAGGGATGTGCACATAGTATATAAAAAAAAAAAAATAAATAAAAAAAAAGTTCGGCAGGAAACGAGAGCTCCAACAACAAGTCGTTTGGCGCAGCCACCTTCTTTGTCTTGACTCTTGTACAAAAATTGTACCAGCGTGATCACCAAAACAATGAAAAAATGAAGAAAAAATGTTTGCCTTGAAGATTTGCTGGGATTTGACCTCACAACTTCATGGTCAGCAGACAGCATTCATAACCACAAGGCCAAAAAGGAAGGGATAAATCGTGGGTTTTTATAACAAATCGATACTGGCTTCCAGGGCAAATTATAAACCATGGGAAAAGGCCAGAAACCTGGCCGAAATTCTAACTCCTTAACGGTTGGTCCAATTGTTCTGAAACCTTCACAGAACAGTTTGCCATGCCCTAACAAGCCATTTTATGTACTTTGTTGTCCAAATTTCCCTTATCTTCATACTTTTTAAGACCCAAACTTGATTGCTAATCTTTTTGAAACAGACTGTAGGTATGAAAATGTATACAAATATAGCTGTGAGGTATGTGACAAACATACTTCTGGGTGCCTGTTACCACCCTCGATATCGGGACAGTCCCCGGCCAAATCGGAATGGTTGACAGGTGTGCTACCATGAACACAGCATCGTCAAAGAGACTGTACCTTATCATCTGCTCGAGTTCCAATACCTTCTTCTGGTGACAACATAGGCGGTCGGTTTGCGCAGGTCTCCACGACTGCACCGCTTGAAAAGGTCTAGTGGCCATTGGTCGAAGGTTCCTATGTTCCTACAAGTATGCAAGCACTGCGGCGCAGGACAATACAAGACACAATGGCAGTCACGTCAGGAGTAAGTGCTTTCCCAGCACACGTATATCCCGTTTAGTAACGTTACAAGGCGTACGAACAAAGATGAACAGTAGCCTACTCACCATGGTCGTGAAGTAGTGGTGAAACGAATATTCGAATATTCGAACATTCGTTCGGTTTGTCACATTCGAATATTCGTTAAGTCACATTCGAGTATTCGTTACGTCACTTCGAATTAGGGCTCAAACGGTCACGGTTTTACCCCTGACGGTTAACTGCTAAGCTAACGGTCGGTTAACCGGTTATAACCTATAAGCCACGGCAATCCTGCGGACTCTTTTTTAACCGTATATTTGACTATACTCATTCAAAAAATGTACCCTATTCAGTACAACGCACACTTGTACATTCTCTTGCATGCTCATTCATACATACTCTCACACCAAGAGACCAGATATGACCGAGTTGACAGCCCAGAAATTGCGTACGCGTGCGACAGCCCGCGAAAGTGCACACTTTGCAACGACCTGATACTTGAAAAATTGACTGAAAAGTTACTGCGTAACCGTTATCTTTATCGGTTAACCGTTAATTCTTCGTAACCGGTCTGCAACCGGTTAATCGGACTAATCGTTTGAGCCCTACTTCGAATGCAGTGCATGTACATACATGGACGCCGAACACGGTACAGTGCAGTGCGTACAGCCTGCCTGTGACTTTGTACTGCATGCATGCACATGTATGTCCATACTGGACTGCCAATGTTGCACATAACATTTATGAACTTCGAAGTAGCCTTATGTGGCAGTATATTTTAAGTGGCACTACCGTTTGTCATACCTAAAAAATATATTAGTATTGACAATATCCATCAAATGACTGAGAGGAGGGCATGTGATGTAATCTGTGTTACCAAAAGAATATTCGTTCATTCGTTCGTTAAGCTGAAGAATATTCGACTAGTAGGTTTTGACATTCGTTTCACCACTATCGTGAAGTCATTAATTATCTTCCACTCAGGCCCGCCAAAGGTACAACAAACTCCAAACAAAAGCAGATTGAGTGTACTGGCAGATTGAGTGTACTGGCAGATTGAGTGTACTGGCAGATTGAGTGTACTGGCAGATTGAGTGTACTGGCAGATTGAGTGTACTGGCATACTAGATGGGTGTACTTTCCTCTTCTACACACACCACGGTGTCACACCGCGTTGCAGTCTCTGCAGGGTGAGTGGTACGCCATGAGATACTGCATCTGGACCTGGATTTCTGTACGAGTTCTTAGTTAGAAGCAAGGCTAGTGTGTAGTTTCATAGATGCCCCGGTTTCCAACATTCTTATCTACGGGAATGGGCGTAATTCAAGCTTTCCAAGCAGGAGACTATAATTCACAGAGTCTGAACGGTCGTCATCTCCCTATATCCCTCACCCCAGCATACCCATGATGTTCCAGAAGGCGTAACCACACGAACTGTTTGAGCATATAATCGTTCCTCACCCCCACCCCACCCCGCCGACCAAGCCAGATTCGGAATGGTGAAGCTTCTCCAGCGTGAAAGGTGCTTTGTACACATTTGTGTTTTCACTTCTACATCCACCTCCCATATGGTCTAGTGGTTAGGATTTCTGGTTTTCACCCAGACGGCCCGGGTTCAATTCCCGGTGTGGGAACACACCTTATCTTTTTTCTTTTTCTTTTGTAGTATACAGGGAAAAATTGCTAGGTCGTCCCCGGGTGGGCTTGAACCACCAACCTTTCGGTTAACAGCCGAACGCGCTAACCGATTGCGCCACGGAGACAAGTTGATTTGGCCAGTCTATGAACAGGTTGATAGCACTGATCTTGTCCCTCCTTGTCACAAAGTTGTGGACAATGTGACTGTCCTTGTCTCTCCTGTTCCTATTCAGTTGTGCTTCCGGTATCTCTTTTTCTGTACACTAAGTCTTTTCAATGCACTTCTACAGTCCGTTTCAAAAAGATTTGCAATCCTGGCGATCGCCCGCGGAGTTTGGCGTCTTACCGTATGAGCACTCGAGCGCTGCCTGGAAAAACTCACTGTGAACTCGAAGAAATATTCCGCGCGAAAGCAGGAAAAATGACAACTCACTCACGTTGATACAGTCATGTACATGTACGTCTGTCGTCTGGTTTACAACAAACGAGTTCTTCTTCGTATCGATAATGGAGTCAGAGAGGACATGTCGAAACGAAAATGTTGTAAATGTTGACGAGCGGCATGGGTCCCAATTCGTCTTGTGACCAAAATAGTTTCTTTGAGCTGCGATGCAATTTACTCACCGTGTGACGAAAACGACATCGACACGGACTCATTCCCAAGGCCATGACTTGGCAAAGCTATCCGTGTGATTTCGACAACATTTTGAGGAAAGCAGACGCTTGTGAACGCTGATAGAAGACGGCGTTGACTGCTAAATTCAAATAAATTGGCGATCTTGAAGATCTTGAAATACTACAATAAATCTCAAAAAGCTACAGCGCGATGACTTCCATATTCACTCACACCATTGCAGTGTTGTGGGTGTGTTCACATGGCGTGAGCCAGTCAAGTGTCAGTCAGTTCGGCAGGAAGCGCGAGCTCCAACAACAACAACAAGTCGTTTGGTGCAGCCATCTTTTTTGTCTTGTACCAGCTTGATCACCAAAACAATGAAGAAAAAAAGTTTGACTTGAGGATAGGTTGGGATTTTAACTCACAACTTCATGGTCATCTGACAGCATTCATAACCACAAGGCCAAAAAGGAAAGGATAAATCGTGAGTTTTGATAAAAATCGATACTGGCTTCCTGGGCAAATTGTAAACCATGGGAAAAGGCCGGAAACCTGGCCGAAATTCTAACTCCTTAACGGCTGATCCAATTGTTCCGAAACCTTCACAGAACAATTTGCCGTGTCCTAACAAGCCATTCTATGTACTTCGTTGTCCAAATTTCCCTCATCTTCATACTTTTTAAAGGGGAAGTCCGGTGAAAAATTTAAATTTCACAGTCCGTAGAGTTCGAGTCGCTGAGTCGAATGGTCTTTGTCCGAGGAGGCTGCGGCTTATGGTTCGTCAGATACGCCCAATCGAACATGTGCGAATTTGAGCGCGCATCACCCAGATCCAGGTGATGACGTCACAGCGTGCAGCCAGGTAGCCACACCATCTAGTTGTGTACAAAAATGGCCATATTCGGAGCGCGTTCGATTGGGGAACTGTTTGTCGCAGCTTCTTCGGACCAAGACCATTTGATTCAGTGTTACAAACACTACATACCCTGTGATTTTCAGCTCGGTAAACCTCGAGGTTATACCGTATTTTAGCCGTTTCCGAGTTGGACTTTTTCCGTCAGCCTCTACGCGCTGTGCGCTGCGTGCATGCAGTGCGTGCAGTGGTGCTGTGGTGCAGTCAACAAACTCATCACAGACGGAACTACTCCCGCACTGCCGTGCTGGGGTCTATACAACAAGACTCGAGTCACAACTGACACAAGACTCAGAAAACTAGTCAACACACGGACTTGTCATGTACTACACTCGTATCATATCACTACTATCAGTCGTATTGTACAGTCATGTAGTCAGAGAACGTGCGTTTCTCCTTGCCGGTGCCGGTGATTGTGCTTTGAGAAAGAAAATTTTAGTTTTCCGCTCCCGCCTCATTATTTTATGCTACAGCGATGAGTGCACAACCGTGACAAGTGACAAAACAGGGAACAGCTCCCGGACCTAGAACTGTCAGATTCCATAGCGTTGCGAGCGAAGAGTCGTGCCCGTGGTTCAAAGAGCCTGCACTGTTCTCCAAATGAGTAGTCCGAAATATTCCAAGTTCGCACCAAAACATCACCATGTGGCAGGCCACTGGAGTCTAAGCGAATCTAATCGGTATGGAACAACATTTAGAGCACTCGCATCACTCTTCTCCATTTTGGCGACCCTGCTCTCCAGCGATCTGATAATTCATCAGCCTCGTCTGCAATAGCTGCTGCTTCTTCATCAGCCGGAAACTCAGTAACGCTCACTCTTGACGGGCCCGCGCTGCCATTTCTTCAGCTGAATACCGAGGTTCTCAGCCCCAGACCGAACTCATGAAGGTCAGCCATGGCTGCATCCTCACTCTCACAAGGAGTTACAGGTCTTCGGGGTCGCTTGCACCACCTAATATCAGTCGCCAAATCATTTGAAATAGCACTGACACTATTGCTTTCACGCACTCCTTTTGACCTAGCTGCACGCTATGACGTTGCAGAGGGTGTGGCGCGGCCGCATGACGTCATGGCGCAGCCCCCGAAACTCAGTTTTTCAAACGGAAATATCTCGAGAACGCTTTGTCGGAGACACGTGGGACCAACACCATTCGACTCAGCGCCCGAAACTCTACCAACCCTGAAATTTAAATTTTTCACCGGACTTCCCCTTTAAGACCCAAACCTGATTGTAAATCTTTTTGAAACAGACTATAGCGCCAATCGTCTGCATGTGAGAACGGGGGCTTGAAGTAGCAATGGCGTGGACCAAGGAGAGAAGTGTGGGTGGGTGGGAGGGGGAGGGGAAGGCAGAGAGAGAGAGAGCAATTACTACCTTCGGTTTTAAACCTGTAGAAAAAGGCATGCCCAAAAAACATAGAGGCTCGAATCCACCACCCTGAGATTATAGGCTATCCATACTACGATACAATACGCGTCACGTTTTGGAATACGACGTACTGGCACACGTCGTTTTCATGCCGGTGCATTCACACAGGCACGTATATGCTTTTCGTACAGCTTTGCGCACAGCTTCTCTTGGACACAAACAGCTGGGAACGACAGAACGAACGTCGGTACAGGGTCTGGATACGTCGTCTACGTTTTCGTATCAGGGTACGATTTTCCCGCCACGTTCCATGTTGTCATGGCTATCCGGACGAAAACGTCACGTACTCCACGTTTTGGGCATAGTGTGAATGGCCCATAATAGGCGATTCACACGACAGGCAAATCCACGTTTGTCAGGTGCCCGCAGGAAGTGAAACGTGAGGATGCAGTTCACACGGCCGCGCGGGTGGCGGCCAGAGCTCCCGCGAGTATCCGGTGAGTATACGGCGTTACTGTGGTGATTTGGAATGAGTACCCAAAGACAAAGGCCAAACAACCAGGGTTAAAGACTACCGTACGATAGTACGACCTCACAGCCTCATAACTGTAAAAGTGCCCGCAGATGAGTGCATCCGCGGGCAAAAAGGCCATGGACACTTTTGATTCCCGCGGGCAAATTTTGGTCACCCGCAGGAATATCTCCATGGTGACTTTCCTGTAAACGTGGATTTGCCTGTCGTGTGAATCGCCTATTAGGAGTAGAAAAAGACATGCCCTAAAAAAAAAGTAAGCGCCCAACGTGGGGCTCGAACCCACGACCCTGAGATTAAGAGTCTCATGCTCTACCGACTGAGCTAGCCGGGCTGCTGGGCATTAAGCGGTTTGGTCGAATCCAAATGTTTTTACTAATGCCCCTATTTACACAACACCCCCATGTACCACATACCTGGTCAGCCGCTCTTGCTCCCAGAACTTGCCCGTGTGACAACATCAGCCGTCTTCTTGGACAGCTACGCTCGGCTATGGAGATGGCAAGAGTTTGTGGTCGCCGAGTGGGCAGAGGTTGCTAAGCAAGCTACGCAAAGAGACAACAGCAAAGATAACCACGCACTTCAATTTGCCGATCACAATGACACATTATTGTGCCTCAACATCTGAGAGTGTTGTTCCAAGCAGCCTTGATGAGCATTGCACCGAGAGTGTAAAAGCCAGAGTGCTCAAATCCGCACCCACGATGCTTTAACACCAACACACTGCAAAACCTTGACTTATGTGCTCACAAATCATTGGATTATTAGGATTATTATTTGATAACCGCAATCAGCAATACAAGCTGGATCGACATTTGTGTACACTTTATTCATGTAATGTAAAACTGTGGAGACAATGTGCAATAAAACGATGAAAATGTGAAGAAATGGTGTAGAGAAAATGAGGATTCAAACAAGTTTTCGTACAACACTCATCAGGACCATCACCATCACCATCACCAACAATGCAACATACAGCAACCACAACTAATCCACCATCCAAGCCCACTATTGAAAGACCAAGACGATTAACAGCCAACTACAACAGAAGCTACACACTCAACGGACAAGGGCGCAAGGAGGGACCTGACAGCAGGGTGACGGCCGAGTCCCGTTCAATGGACCAAGTCAGGCGGGATAACAGAGAGAGCGGAGAGGAAGCGGATGATGGGACGGACAATGAAGGGAGCAATGAGTCCGAGAGCGACGATTGTAGTGATTGTAAGAGTGCCGGTGAGAATCTTAGTGTTGTGCGTAGGTTTTGTGGTAGCAAGTCTTCAGTGTACAATCATCTGTTGGCTAGTCCTGATTGCTGCAATTCGTATTCCGACTCTTCTTTCACTGTATTGTGCCGTGGTCGTCATGGTTATGGACTACAGTTTAAAGTTTTGGAAGCCATCTGTCAGCGTCTTTATAAGCCTAATTTGTGGGTACAGAAGGATAGTATAATTGGGTTGAAATTGTTCAAGTAAAGTGTCATGTTTTGTGCGGCCAAGCTTGGCCGTTAAAATTTTCTAGGTGTAATGTACTGCTGTTATTTGTTATCACTTTGTCCCTTTCTCTTCTTTGTTCATTTTTCAGTTGCAAGTTTAGTGTTAGTACACGCATTCGCTATTGCTCTCGCTTTCATTGATAAAATTCACACTTGTAAATTTCACTGCTGTTGTTCTTAGTGTTATTTCTCTAACTTAGATTTTCTATAATAGGTCAATTTTGTTTTCATTGTCCTTTAGTACAACGAAGATTCCTGATGAGTGAAACTTGTTTGAATCCTCATTTTCTCTACACCATTTCTTCACATTTTCATCGTTTTATTGCACATTGTCTCCACAGTTTTACATTACATGAATAAAGTGTACACAAATGTCGATCCAGCTTGTATTACTGATTGCGGTTATCAAATTGTTGTCTCCTCGCCGTTTGTTCAAGTATTATTATTATTAAATTTTGGATAGGGCAATCCCCACAGGCCTAAGGCCTTCTTACAGGGTACCCTAAATGTGGATATCCCGTTCCACTGCAGGTTTTCCCACAAAAATAACCCCATGCACTAACTACAGTTGGAATCCTGATGATTCGAATAGCTACAAGAGTAGTGTGCACTACAACTGGGTTGAAGTGACCTACGTACGGAATTTTCCATGATTAAAATATATTTCTGTTTACAGCATCACCTTTCTGTCTTTTGACATCTTCTTTTGTTTCCGATTTACTTCTTCTATTACTAGTACTCAACGCCGAGTTACCGAAGTAAAAATAATAGGAGAATCACCCTACCAAACCGTATACATGTAAGAATCACGGTGTAAAATAGAGGTAGTGGTGTTCACCCTGCACAGCCAGGCTGTGTACGCAATTGCCAGTGCCTGGCCATGCTCCCTCTTCTCCCCCCCCCCCTCCCCCGGCTGCAACAAGGGGAATGGTTGCTACCAAGCATTTCAATCTTTCCAATATGTATGACAGAGGATACTCAATCTGCGGACAGATAAGATAAGGAAGTTGCGCAGTGTGTATTTTCGCTAACCCTAATGCTCAACCCTGACACAACACGTACCAGACCTCTGGACAGTGAACAACTATCACTTGTTCCAAGAGTGGGCCATCAGACTTGCTTTAGTACACACTGCGCAGCTTCCTGCCGCTTGTCTTATCTTAGGCTGGTCTTATCTTAGGCTGGTCTTATCTTAGGCTGGTCTTATCTTAGGCTGGTCTTATCTTAGGTTGGTCTTATACTCTTATCTTAGGCTGGTCTTATCATTCTTACCTTATCTTATCTGTACCAAAATATGATGTAATCCAGGAGTTTTGCCGTGGCAGACACCGACAGAGAAAAGTCAGAAGCTCACTCTCGGTTTTATGTTCCCTTGTTTTCGACATACCGGACATGTACAATTGTACATCAACACTGGCAATTGCAGCCACCAGTCTGCAGCCTACTTGGATTTGAGATTCACACCACTACATCGATGAATGTGCAAGTCCCATATGGTCTAGTGGTTAGGATTTCTGGTTTTCACCCAGACGGCCCGGGTTCAATTCCCGGTGTGGGAACACGCTATCTTTTTTCTTCTTTTGTGCCCAAATTATTCGGAAATGCGAGAAAAAAATAAGTTCAGGTCGTCCCCGGGTGGGCTTGAACCACCAACCTTTCGGTTAACAGCCGAACGCGCTAACCGATTGCGCCACGGAGACTAGTTGTATTTGGTGGACACACACACACACAAGTTGGTTGTAAATTTATGAACAAGACCACCGTGCACTACAGTATGTGGTGTAGTTTGTACAATGAATACGGTAACGGAATCACAGCCATTCCGTTCCCGGGACGCAGGACCCAAAGGACGAGACTTGTTTGTTAAACTCGGATACTGAGCCAGTAATAGAATGTAAAAAAGATAGTTGCTGCATAACTCGTTCTCATGTGTTTCTTCTCTTTCTTTACACTTGTTTGTTACATTATTATTTTTATTTGAATTGTTTGCAGGCAACCTGCCTACACTCAAGAGAGCACTGCATTTCACACAAATCCATTGGTATCGTTACAACGTTTCGGTCTTTATGACCATCATCAGGAATGAAGTGGACATGGAAAGAACAGCAGTATAAAAGAAGGAGGCAAGCAAGCAAAGCGCGGTACATAGTGACAGCGCGCGTAGAGAAGTGCAAAGCACGTCATGGCGGGTGTGCATTACTACATATACATGACAACACAAGTACAAACGGCGAGGAAAGTAGATACTGCGCTACAGCAGTGATAACAGCCCAGTTCCAGTCTCACACCACCAGTGAGGTGTCTAGAGCCCCGCGCTACTCGCAGTAAGGTGGTGTTATAGCAGATCCCAGCCACTGTTATTGTTAATTTCCGGGGATCGCTCCCTGATATTGATGGCCTCCCGGATCCTCCTCCTGGGGCGGTCACGCTCAGAACCGAGAACCCGGATACCTGAGAAAGCCGTTGCTCCCAATGGCAATGGGTCAGATGCATGCTTGGCCGCGAAATGCTCACCCAGCGCGGTGCCGCTCACTGTGTTGCGTGCGTCGTCGTTGTGTTCTTTTGTCCTGGTAGCGAGGCTGCGGTACGTCTCTCCGACATATTTATCACCACATTTGCACTCGAGGTGGTATACAACATTTCGCTCCGTGCATGCCCCTGAACCGGACATGCAGGCGACACAAGCAGCTTTGGGCCGCCCCCGTTTACGGGGCCTGGACGGGTCTACATACCTGCGGCATGGTGGTTTGTGGAGGGCAGACGTGCAAATCATAGAACTTAGACTGCGGTTCCTGTAAATCAGCTGGGCATTTATCTTGTACTTCCGGAGTAATTTATGAATTTTGTTGTGGATATACTCGGTGTGAAACGGTAGGTTGAGGGTGACACGGTATTCATTCTGCACTCTGACACGTCGGGGGCGCATAGCTCGTTCACGTGCCGAAACTATAACTGACTCTGGGAAGTTGTTGAATTTTAGGATGTTGGTTACTTTTTCTTCACTTCTTTTTAGGGTGTCGGCATCGGAGGATAGGCGGACGGCACGCAGGAACTCAGAGGAAGCAATTGCTTTCTTTTGCTGGTTGGGAACTGACGAGTTGTAGTCTGATACCAGTCCGCTGTGACATGGCTTGCGGTATAGTTCATAGGATATAGATCCATCTGGTGAGACATGGACGGTCGTGTCCATGAAATTGATTGAGCCAGTCAACTCCGTGGATTGGTGAGTGAATTTAATATTAGGATCGGCATTATTGAAGTGATCTAGGAAACTGTGCAGAAGTTCCGGACCGAGGTTCCACACAATGAAAACATCATCGATGTAGCGCTTGTACAGAACTGGGCTGGCAGGTGCACTACGCAAGAGCGAACTCTCTACAGTCTGTTTCAAAAAGATTAGCAATCAAGTTTGGGTCTTAAAAAGTATGAAGATAAGGGAAATTTGGACAACAAAGTACATAAAATGGCTTGTTAGGGCACGGCAAATTGTTCTGTGAAAGTTTCGGAACAATTGGACCAACCGTTAAGGAGTTAGAATTTCGGCCAGGTTTCTGGCCTTTTCCCATGGTTTATAATTTGCCCTGGAAGACAGTATTGATTTGTTATCAAAAACCACGATTTATCCCTTCCTTTTTGGCCTTGTGGTTATGAATACTGTCTGCAGACCATGAAGTTGTGAGTTCAAATCCCAACAAATCTTCAAGTCAAACATTTTTTCTTCATTTTTTCATTGTTTTGGTGGTCACGCTGGTACAAGACAAAGAAGGTGGCTGCGCCAAACGACTTGTTGTTGGAGCTTGTGTTTCCTGCCGAACTGACTGACACTTGACTGGCTCACGCCATGTGAAGTTGTGAACACACACAACACTGAAACCGTGTGAGAGAACACGGAAGTCATTGCGCTGTAGCTACGTGTTGTTGAATACACTGGTACATCGATCGATCGATTTCTGTTTGAGAATTATTTTAGTATTTTGAAGATCGCCAATTTATTTGAGTTTAGGAGTCAACGCCGTCTTCTATCAGCTTTCACACGCGTCTGTTTTTCTCAAA